CAAGTCCGTACCAGAGGATGCCTTTGCCCAAGCAGACTCTCCATCCCCAGACTCATCCGATTCAGCATCCAACTCCAAATCTATCCAAACCTACCTGAAGGAGTTGCATCAAGGCGTCGACATGACCCATCGCCTCCTCCTCTCCACACTATTCAAGTATCACGTCAAACCATTTGACCCTACCGGTGACATGTTTGATCCTAATCAACACGAAGCAATGTATCAAGCCCCAATACCCGGAAAGGAACCTGGGACTATATTGGAGTGCCAGAAAACCGGGTACATGATTAAGGATCGGTTACTGCGGGCGGCGCAAGTCGGTGTCGTACAAGATACACCATGACCTACATCATTGCTATGGAGCGGGGTTTAGGTCGGTGATGGGTATGTAGTGCAGGTATTGGGAGAACTATTAGTCACACTAGTAAGTACTCTAGAGCCTCTATGAGCGGCGGCGCGGGTAGACGATAGACATTATTTTAGCACATTTAATTCACCGAATCTCAACTCTGAACCGATCCCGTAGACAGGAAACGACCTGTGCATTAAGAGAGTTGGCCTCGTCGTTTGAAAGTGATCTACTCAAATGTTAGAAAGAAGCTTTCATGAAAGACAGGGGCTTACCTATCCATTGAACGATAATTGATCCTGTAACAAAGACTCTTCCGGTTAGTTTTTGGGTGAATAAAATCGTCGATCTACTCGGAGGTCAGGTCAGGCCACACTCGGTTCAGAGTAAGACTCGCCATTTTGACGTCCTCCACCACATCTCCAGCGACGTCTCGGACAAGGTCACAAAAATCGTTTTCATGAAGCGCCTGGCCTTCAGGGAGCCAAAAGCTCACGTCCTTGAAGCATGCCGGGTACTTCGAGTACGGTTTGAACGTGGTGATTTCGCCTTGTTTAAACTGCGATAGGAAACGGGGGTCCTGTGACCAGAACAAACGAATGTCGGGGATAGAATATAAAACCATTGCTATCCGTTCGAGTCCAAGGCCGAATGCCCATCCCAGCTTGTTTGAAACATCTAATTAGGCGTTATTCGTCAAATTAATGTATGTCAATTCATCAACGTACTCGCGTTATCGAGTGTTGGCTGATAAATGACTCCACAACCGAGAATTTCCAGCCATTTACCACGGAAGAAGACCTCGACCTCAAAACTTGGCGTCGTCCACGGAAAAGTAGCTTCGATCCACCGCACTTTAAGTGGGTTTTGAGCAGTAGCACCGACGCGTCCAGCAAACAAATGTAGCATAAGGCTATTCAAGGACAATTTCAAGTTTTTCGCGATTAATTCCGTATGTTTTGGATCATGAGCTGGTTGACAAGGATTCGTCGATGATAGATGGGGGACATCTTCAATTTCTATACTGGATTGTTCCAAGTGGGCTGCGAGACGTTCGTTGTCCTCCTCGATCTCCTTCATGCCCGTTGAGTTTGCTGAAACGATACGTGCACCCTCTGTCTGGTGAAATACAGGGTAGTGTGATCCGTCTATCTCGTCGCGCCGGTACACATCTGCAGTAAGTAACCACTTTGTCTCTCCTCGTCCAAACACCTCTACTTCGTGAGCAGAGGTGTGAGTGCGCAACATGAGGTCCTTGTTGACATAGTAGCTGTCTGTCACGGACCGACCAGGGTGGTCTTTTGGGAAAGATAGCAGATCAAAGTTTTGGTATGGAGTGACGAGGGGAGAGAGTGAGGAGAGGTGAGTGTAGGAGGGGAAGTGTGATTCTATAAGCCCTCGGAGTGTGCTGAGGGGATGTGAGGGTTGCGTGTGTAGCCTTAGTGGGAGCTTGGACACGATTGTTGGAGATATGTTTGTCATATGGTCGGTGAGGTACTGTTCACCTAGCACGGTGACATGACACGGTCGTTGGACAGCCATGTTAGCGAGGTATCGCGAGGGTACTCCTCTCGCATGAATATTTCGCCATAGCAAACCAGATAAACGCATTGAACGCGAGCTACCAATGAGTTTTCGTTGAATTGTTGCAAGCTCTCCTCTCCAAGCCTACTAGTATTAATGCTCAACGAATTCACGCGTTCGTTTGCACTTGTTGTCCAAAAGCTTCAAACAAATCCAAACTTGGTTATGAGCACAGCCACTTCGAGCTCTGATGTCCCGAGTCGCCATCAGGGATTCAGCAGACTCAAAGGTGAACAATTTCCGTGTATTAATGCACAGGAAGCTCATCAAAATCAGCCTTCGCTCAGCAAACGAAAATCAAAGAGACGCCTCGTCGATTCTGATGAGGAAGAATTTGATGATGATGCTGCTGACGCTCACATTGAGCACGCCGCCTCTGGCACCGCTCCAGTCGCCCCCGGTCAAGCTCGAAAGAAGAGTAAGGTGGATGCGAGTGCGAAGCGTTTGAAGATGTCAGGCTCTGTGACAGGAGCGAAGAAACAAATGGTGTTCTCTGACGCAGAAGATGCCGAAGTCGACATTGAAGATCTCATGGATGAGGATTTCCTTGACAAACCTTTCCCAGATATCGAAGACGAGGATTTCCTTGATGAATCTTTCCCAGATGTCGAAGACGAGGGGTTCGAACCTGAAGCCGCACCAAAGCGTGGTGGAAAACCAAAGGCATCTTCGTCCGTGAAGAGCAAACCTCCAAGGGTTAAATTGGTGTTAGGAAAGGGTGGCAAGCCGAAGGCTGGAAAAGAAAAGGAGAAAGAGAAGGAGATCATGATCAAGGACGAACGCAAAATCCCTCCCTCTGACACCCTTTCTGTGTCTACTAGCGTCACAGCCCACAGTCAAGTCTCTGATCTCTTTGCGGATGACGAGTCTTCCATCCATCCACCATTGGTGGTCGATCCTTCTGCCACACCTGATCAGGCCGCCTTGCCGCCACCAGAACTGAAGAAGCGCAAACTCCCAACAATCAAGAAGAACAAACCCTCTACCTCAGCTGCAACTTCCACTCAGTCCCAATCCGCCGCTGCCCCCTCCAAGCCACCACCTTCAACTGACGATGTGACAAAAATCGGCGCTCCTCATCCGCAACGTAAGGCTGCAGGTCTCATGGGGGCAGCAGACTTTGACCTGCGAGATAAAAGCGTGTATGCTGAGCTCTTTAAAGGGGTGAGGCGGTTTTGACGATATTTTTGCATGTTTAAATGTCTGTCTACTCTGCAGGCTGGTGGTAGTACTCCTCGTTCTGGACTCAACAGGAGAGAGAAGGAGGAGGAACGACGGAAAGAACTGAACAAGATGCGTGATGAAGCAAAGGCTAAGCGCGCGGAAGAAGCTGTCTGTTTCTTTTTCTTATTCGCACGGGATTCTTATTTCTGATTCGAGCGCAGAAACATCATTTTGATCTACAGTCACAAGCAGACAAGATCGCTGGTTTTGAACAGAAGCTTAGAGCCAACAATTGCATGGCTTTGCACCCGAACTTCCTTGCTGCTAAGTTCCGAGAGGAGTACGATAAGGAGAGAGCGCGTCTACGGCATGACAGGGAGCGGAGCCAGAGTGCTACAAAAGAGGAGGGCGAGGCTTAAGTTGATGGCTTTCATTTCTTGTTTTGTTTGACTTGTACTCATCTTGCTTTCGGACATGCAATACTAGACTTGTGTATACATCCCTGCAATATTACAAACTTCCTATATTCTATTACTTGCACAACGAACACTTCTGGAGCGTCATTCATCTCTGTTTCTGGCTGACCCCTAGGGGTGACTTGTACATAGGAGACACGAGGTTGGCAGATATCTTTGTTACCTGGTCGAAACAAAGATCAAACCACCTTTTGTCTGCTGTGGGTTTGTTGGGTGTCGACGCTGACTTATCTCCCTCGATGCTGAGCCCAGAGAGCTGTTGTTCTAGAGAGGACGTATCGGGGAAGAATATTCGTAGCTGTAACTGGAGTCCATTAATTATATCGAGCAGGGCTAACGATTCCTTCCTGATTGTGGCGGGGTTCTGAGGAATATATAACGAGGAGACCAATTCGTCGGACGCAGCAAGGAGTGCGTGGGACTGCAAAAGCAGAGCATCTAGAGCAAAGCTCGGAGGTGGTGGGGTCGGTGCAGACGAAAGCAGATCCAGGAATATACGTTTGTGCAGTAGTGTGGTTAGCCTCAGCACGGAGTGAACCTGACAAATGGCGCGTTTAAAGAGAGCTGTCTTGAAAGTAGCAGAGACAAGTACTGTACATTTTTTGTGCGCGCCAACTCGTCCTTGTCCATCTTCTCTCCTGTATCACCCAAACCGAGCTCGTCCCAACCGTCGTGGATATCATCGCCATCGACATCATCGCTGTCACTCCCTTCTGCTCCATCTATCATTTCAGACAGTTCCCGAAGACTGTCTTCGAGAGCCCCTCGGTCCTGCTTCCATCTTCGACAGATAGCAGAAATTGTATCCTTTGGTATTCCGTTAGTTCCACGTGCTTGAGTTATGAGATCGTGAAGAGTGCCTGTCCGGACAAGATACTCTTCTCCTGCGGATTCACTCCTTGCTATCGACGGGCCACGCGCAGCGAGGTTCAAAAATGTCTGCACGACTGCACGCAAAGCCTCCAAAATAGCTGTCACCTCATGTTGCACCTCCTTGATAAGCGTCGCCCCATGTAAGTCAGGATTCAAAAGATGAATGCAATGTGCGATGCCAGACGTATATTTCATTAGATCCGCGATCACGGGTAGAGAAGCGGAGTATGTAGGGGATGATGGTTTGAGCGCAAGAGAAAGTTTAGTGCTGGAGTTGTATATCAGAGAAAGGAGAGCGTCTAGGTCTTTTATGATCACAGCGAGATCGGAGGTTTGAGGCTCTGATTTATCGCGCTGATTTCGGGAAGCGAGTGCGGAGAGTGCAGCTGTGCATGTCTCGGACGCAGATGTCAAAGCGACGATGACTTGTAGCCATAATCATTTAAAACAGAATTCACGAATCAGTGAGCCGCTCACCTTTCTGCTTGTCAGTCATGTTCTGTTTCAAAACATATAATGCGCGATCTAATCCAAAAGTGGGCTTACGTAAAGCTGACTTGTTTTTCTGAATCTTCCCGCAGTTTATGTACTGACGTTCTTGTCGCAAGCACTAGTGCCACCATTTCCCTCTAACTCTCCAGTGCATGTCCGTGCACCTCCTGGTAAGTAATTGTTAGTTTAATCGTATGCTACTGCATCAACCATGATGTTTTGTAGCTACCGGGCATCCTGCGCGCCCAAGGGCGTTCAGTCGTTTCTCTGCCTCCAAAGTCATGCATACAGCTCCGCTCATTCTCTAATTCTCGACCAATACAACCCTACTCAAGATTTACATTCGCATCTAAAGCACCCCTGCTAATTACCCAACACCGGATCCAACCACTAACTGCACAGCCTTGCCTCCGACGCGCGCTGTCATTATTCCCTTGGTCGAAAGCATCGTCTACGCCTGCCCCAGCGGTCGTAGCGAAAGTCGCTCGTCTAGAAGCAGAAGCTAACGCAAATCCAGATGATGTTGCTAGGCAGCTGGCCCTGTATCAGGTTCTTGTAGACACGCAAGTGAAGGCTGGGTATGAAGTAGTAATCACTCGTTGGGAAAGGATGTGCGAATTTGTAAATATGTTTTGTATCTCTTATCTGTGTTCTCATTGAACTCATGGGTTGTTTTTCTTTTGATAGAATTCAGCATCACCGCTTCTTCGGTCCGACGCGGCATTCCAGCTGTATCTTACATCCTTACTCAAGACTGGTCAAGAGGTTTCAGTCAACTTGGCTGTTCGCAGACGCGATTCGCTTCTTGCTGCTGCTGCTGCTACTACTGGTACTACTACTACTGCTACAGACGCCTCACCAGCTGATTCTCCGGCCAACGCTTCGAATTCCCCTTCTGATGCTCCTTCAACTTCGTCACCGACACCACCTCCATCCCGAAGTCAAGAGATTGCTTCGGATGTACTCGCTGGGCGCGCAGGACCTTTACTCGCAACTTCTCGTCTTGACGGTGCCTCGGCTTCTCAGAGCACAGACATGACGAATCTCGCAGCTGCCCTGAGCAAGGGTAGTGGCGTAAGCGGTAATCCGATTCATGTCACTATCAGTGAGCGTAGGTAGTCATCAGCATATACAAATGCATCCCTCTCACTTTGCTTCCAGCGAAAGGGTCCACAGTTATGCGTCTTGTGCGGTTCTTAGTTTTGACTGCCATGGGTGGATTTTGTAGGTGCACATCAGATCATAAGCTTAAGGTCATTAATCTCGTGTTCTTCGACAGTCATTCTCGTTATCTTGTCTGTGCTCTTGGAGAATTCTGGCTTGCTTAAACCTGTTCCTCGACAAGCAGAGTTCGAACCACTTCAACAAAGGACCATACGGTTTAGCGATGTCCATGGTGTCGACGAAGTGAAAGAGGTAAGCTTTGCAGCTTATAAATCACCTGAGAAGACATATTTCACGATCGTCTAGGAACTCCACGATATTGTAGAATTTCTCAAGGATCCCACTGTTTTTGCATCCCTTGGTGGTAAACTTCCAAAAGGCGTTTTGCTAACAGGACCTCCCGGTACCGGTAAAACCATGCTCGCACGTGCTATTGCCGGAGAGGCGGGGGTGCCATTTTTCTTCGCATCCGGCTCTGAGTTCGAGGAAATGTTCGTGGGTGTTGGCGCTAAGCGTGTCCGAGAGCTTTTCGCAACCGCTCGGAAGAGACAGCCTGCTATTATCTTCATCGATGAATTGGATGCTGTTGGTGGGAAGCGCAGTCATAGGGACCAACATTACATGAAACAGACCTTGAATCAACTGTTGGTGGAAATGGATGGTTTCTTGCAAAGCGAAGGCATCATCGTCATTGCTGCGACTAACTTCCCGGAAAGTTTGGACCTGTAAGTGCTAGGCTTGTCATATCTGGTGCCGACGTCTCTGACAATTGTTTGTTTAGTGCTTTGACACGCCCGGGCCGATTTGACAGGATTATCGCTGTCCCTTTGCCCGATATCCGTGGTCGAGTCCAACTACTTCAACATTTCATGAAAGAGGTGGTCGCGAGCGTTGGTATGCTTTTTCTCTTGCTCGGTGCAATCCAATCACTAAATCGTGTTGGGCTTACCGTTAGCTGTCGATCCTAAAGTACTAGCGCGGGGTACGCCAGGTTTCTCCGGTGCCGAGCTGCAAAACATGGTGAAGTGAGTGCAGCATGCGCTTTTTCTGTCTCTCAGAGACTTTGACACGTTATATATCAGTCAGGCTGCTATACAAGCATCGAAGGAAGGTTATAGCGAGGTCACATTAAAGCACTTTGAATGGGCCAAGGCGCGTGTTCTTCATTTTCTGGGTAATTTAGGACGATTATATAACCCTATCTCACTTTGATGTAGGACCGCATTCTTTTGGGAGCCGAGAGGAAGAGTGCATACATTGACGAGAAGAACAAGTTGTTGACCGCTTATCACGAGGTGCATCATCATCAACTACACGAATCCCGCGTGGAAATTTCGAAGCTGATGGATGGTGGTAGGGAGGACATGCCCTGACAGCTCTTTATACGGATGGTGCTATGCCCCTCCACAAAGTCACGTGTGTTCCGCGTGGTCATGCGTTGGGCGTTGTACGTGCCGATGGTGACCCCCCAGGCTTGAAAACTATGCTGATACTTGCATTTATCAGACTTCCCAACTTCCTGAAGATGACCGGTATTCAGTAACGCAAACGGAGTTCAAAGCCACGATTGACGTTTGCATGGGTGGTCGCGTAGCGGAGGGACTTAGCGAGTTTTTTTCACCCCGATCTCCCACAACTGCTGACTTGAAATCTTAGTTTACGGGACAGGGGGCCTTACAAGTGGTGCCTCATCTGATCTCCAGCATGCCACTCGTACTGCAACCGCCATGGTCAAGGTTAGCATAAATCAAATTGACTCTCTTGGACATTACGTGACCATCTCACCGCTACTTGGGTGACATCTGTAGAAATGGGGTTTCTCGGAAAAAGTTGGTCCAGTATTCTATAGCGACCAAGATGAAGCGATAAGCCCTGCCACAAGGGAGAAAATAGATGCGGAAATCACCAAGCGAGTAACTTCTGTTGAATTGTTGCCATTATGTTAACCATGCTACTATTAGATTACTGCAACAGGGTGAGGCACGGGCAACCAAACTTCTGACGGAAAAGAAGGAGGAACTACATCGGGTGCGCGCATTTCTTCTTCCTGTTGCTGTTTACATCTCACCAGCTTCCGTTTGTGTGTTTACAGCTTGCGCATGCCCTGGTAGAACACGAAACTTTGGATGCCGAGGAAGTAAGGAAGGTCATCAGGGGCGAGCCAATACGGAATATCAAGGAAAAGATTTCTCACGATGAGGTCGCGGAGGTTGTGTCAGAGGAAATCCCTGCACTGACATGAGGTGCACCTTATTTTTTGCACAAACATTAGACTAAGTTGGGGGTTAGGACGTATAATGCATATTTTGTATATCTCAGGGCTGAGTTTGGGAGATCTCCTCGCTTTTTATGCGGTAGTCTTGTCTTGGGATCTACAAAACGACCTGATCCCCGTGAAATGATATTGTCAACAGAAGGCAGTCCGAAGGAAATTTGGGGCAGAGAACATGCCATTTGTATCAAGTGAAGGTGGGATAAGTCAAGAGGAAATGCCCGCGAGTTTCCTAGATCGCTGATTAGTTTTGTACGTCAGTGGATCGTTGTTATGCGCAACCCATCACGTTTTCGTTGTGCGGTTGTCGCCTCGTCTCCGATCCCTCAACGACTGGACAAGAACGGTAGCCTTTCACACAGGATTGCCATTGCTATAGCGTGTATAGTCGTAACTAAAGTCCGTCTGGCCAAGTTTTGTCATGGCGATGGCTTTCCCTTCAGTTCCCGTCGTGGACATGGTACTTTTGGCGTCATCGATTACCAGTTGCCAGAGCCGAAAACGGAAATGAATTGCTATAAATCGCTATGACGTCATGCTGCAATTTCACGCCACAAAACGCCACGCAGTGACAGATGTGACCTGGTCAACGGAAGTTGAAACGTTGATAGACGCTGACATGTTACCCAATCACGTATTGAGGTAGCAGCATGCCGCAGATCCAGAAACTCGAACCAATCTAACGCTAGATCCGCACCATGCTCCGACAACAAGCCGTACATCCTCGTAACTTCTTCAGTTCAATGTGAGTAAATTAGTTAACATTCGCGGTACCATGCGAGCATTAAATCTACAGTGCGAAAGCCACGCACCTATTTGGCGATGACGTTTTGCCTCACGTTCGATGACTGAACACCGAGCAGAACGCGGCGACAGGGGACTATCACTGTCACTACCTCAACAAAGGATGCCGGTAGACCTTCTTGTTACAATCATATATGCCAAACACAACTGTCAAGGCTAGTATCGGTACCGTGAATTTCGCATGTTTCATCAAGTATGGTGATAGCTGAATCCCGTTGCAGGTTTTCGCCTTTCACCGGATGCTTATGCAGGTCGATCAAAAGCGTATAGTCTCAACAAGGGAAGCTTTTATCGCAGATATGCATTAGGTTATCTCCTGGTGCCGCATTGATTTCCAAGGGAGTGGGGATTTGTGTCATGGTGCCTACAAATGCCGATTCCAGCGCGGGGTTTCCAAGTCGTGGAAAAACTTTCAGAACCAGGACCAAGCAAAGAAGAGCAAAGACTACCGATGACATTGACGCCACGTCAATTCGGCTTCCTTGATCAGTTGTGGATTTCATCGTGGTCAAATAGAGAGGGGGACCTGGAAGATGTACGGCAACATGTCCTGTCACATCTGATTGACCGAGGTGGGAACATGGTTGACTTGCAGGAGCGCATAGCAATGTCAATATTCATGTAGTCGACGTCGCTCTTCCAAAAACGACTCGAAGGGCAAGTTGGGGAGTTTCTTCAGCGACAAATAACTGTTAACGGTATAATTGAATTACATCGTGATGTCAGTCACTGCGATCAAGCGGAGACGGAAAATTACAGCCCACACGCCAGTTCATAGGAGCTGAGCTTGTAACACACAAGCCATCTTTGGAGGTGCGAAGCCGCTAAAACGCTTCAGGCCTTTACTCTGACTCATCACGAGCCGGCCGCCAAGTAGGTAGGTCACCGTTTCAAGGTCCGTTCGTAACCAGTTGACCTGTGGACCTTGTCGATGAGTCCCTAGCATTCTGCCGCTTCACCCCCCCGACTGGTTTTGTTTTGACGGACAAGTCTCATATGGGTCTCACAAAATGTCGATTTATTTATAAACATTCCCGGAATCCTTGACTATCCTGGATGCCTTCGAGCTTCAGGGAAACCAAAAGGGGATTGATACCCAGGAAGAGAAGCTTGTCAGTAAGATCGTGCCTTTTGCATGTTCCACGGAATGGAGAAAGGGACCACGAGTTCGGGAAGCAATTTCCTTGGGTGGAATACAAGCTCACGTCTCCATTGACCTCCCGCAGGACCCCCGAATATAGGTGGGGACACTGGGGAGGCCTAAGGGTCGTATGCGCGATGCAATCAGGACAAATTGGGGGCCAGATCCTTTATCCGGCAGGATGACGAAGGCCTAGTCTCCAGAACATTTTCAGGTGGTAGTTTGTAGGTTGGTGCTCACCTGAGCAATGTTTTTCTTAGCATTCCAATTTAGCATGCTGTTCTACTCACAGAAGGTAGGTGTGGCATATGGTCAGGATCAGTTTTACAACACCGTTTCTTTCGATCGACTCACTAATCTTGTTGATTTTATTCATGTCAGTTTATTCTCAAGGTGGCGAGAAAGCGACCCTCATGCTTGACAATCACAGGTGAAAAGTATTGGGGTTGTCTCGTATCTTGCTATGTAAATTTACATGTCGGATCTACAAGCTTTTAGGTTTGCACATGTCCCCTCTGATCACTTCCCGAGAAGGCTCCCGGGATAATTTCCCCTCAGTGCCGATGGCCGAATGCTCAGTAATTGCAGCGCTTCTGGAATTGGCCCTTGAAGTCGAGGAAGGGAAAATAGTACTCGGGCCTCCGCTGCACGCGTAGGGCCTCCAGAAAGACTGGACAAGCAATGTAAATATACTAATCTGACCCCGGACCGCCAAGGTCAACATGGGACATAAATTGATGAATTTTTGCAAAAATATTGGGATCAGGTCACCCGGGGGTCGTGCTCGCGCCCATCGGCATGAACGTCGATCAATTACAAACAAGGTTAAAGGGTGAAAATTTCGCCCAAAGTTCGCACCGTCATCCCTGAGATCTTGAGACCCGTACTTTTTTGCCAAAGGTCTCTGCTATAGGCCAAAAATTGGTATGACACGGGAGTTGGCGGACTTGTACCGCGAGATTTGAATCGTATGTAATAGTTAATTATACTGCACACACGTACTCTCGGCTTAAAAGCAGGAGCATTCTCCCCGTCTCTACCTCTGTATACCTCAACACCGACGACCTTCTTCATCTGCGTGCGGTAAGTCGTTGGTAATAACGATGCCGCCGGGAAGATCTCACGAAGTCACTAAAAGCAGTGCCTTTGGTAAACTCAAAACTTGTCGCTTGCTTATTAGCGTTGTCCTACCGCCGCCGACGAAGTGTAAGACCCATTCAAGCTTCTCGTATCAAAACTGAAATAGCTCTCGTTCCATATCCTATCAGATGTGCTATCGACAGCTACGTTTCACCAAAAATACGGCATGCGGTCATCTTACATTCCAAGGCGACACTTACATTGACTGTCTTGCACGAGACTGCATCCTCAGCACAAGTCATCCAACCACGTGCGGATCACCGGCGAGACCATGCAATTGCCGTCGGTATTATAGGTAAGCCACCCATCGTGATAGCTTTTTTTGCTTCCGCGAAGCTTTCTGTCGCTTATTGTTATTCTCCAGTCAACCCCAGCGGCTGATCACACCAGAAGTATATCGTGTTCCTCAATTTTAAATTTGGTCTGGTGTTGATCCGTCATCTTCACAGCGTCCCTCCGGAATATGTCCACAGTGCCCCCAATGACAAGATCCACCTAATCTGACATATCTCACCACTGGCTGGTCGTCTGACGACAGTCTGTATATATATATATATACATATATCACGTCTTGGATCACCTAATGCATTCTTCCAATCGTCCAGTAGTGCTCACGTCTGCCACCCCCAGTGGTTTCAAGGATTCCCTTCCTAGAAATTATATCTCTACTATGTATAACTACACATCCAAGCCCAACAACGTATCATCATCAATCCCACCGTCTCCATAATCCATATCCATATCGTCTTCCTGCTCTTGTTGTTGCTCCATGAGCAGTGCTTGTTCCTTCTGCTTTGCTTGTGCTTTCTCAATATCATCCAGTGTCCATAACGATATACCAGTCTGATTTTCGTTTGGATTCTGCGAAATTGTGCGCATGAACAGCTTGGAAAGTGTCAAGGCCATATCCGTGGAAAGATTAGAAGCAACCTCCGTGATATATTGATTTATCCACCGGGGTAACTTGGCCCGCTTGTCGGCACGAGCAAAACGCTGTCACAATTGGCAAGTTAGTCAAACGATTATTTGCAAAACATGATCTAACCTTGTCTGCGAACACCATCAGACCCCAGTCAGTCTTACCTCGCAGGACACGTCCAACGCATTGAGCGGCGTTGCGCATGGCATCAAAACCAAGGAACTCGGATTCTCTTATGCGGTATGCATCACGCAAATACTCCAACCGTGCTTTTAATATCCGGCTCTCCGTGTATTGATATGGGACCCTATTGCGATTCTATCAGTTGCCGGCTCTAATGTATAAATTCAATCACGAACCCAAACATGATCACAGCTCTCCCATAGTTGTGATCAAAATCGATACCCTCTGACACTTTTCCACGCGCGACCGACAGAAGAACAGCTCCTCGGCCATTATCGCAAGCCTGCAGTAATTTTGTGAGTGGTCGAACTTCTCTGTGGCATAGGCACTTCTCACTCGGCGATAGTTTTCCAAAGCAATGCTCGTCTCGTTGGCATCTGGCGTTTCCACAAATATTAACTTGTTCTTCCAGACCTCGTTGAGAATACCCTAAGAAAATGATGAATAAAGGTTCATTTCTTGGGGTACAGAGATTTACCATATCATTCCAAGCTGCGACGATGGACTCCATGTAAAGATAACTAGGGAAGAAAGCCACAATGCCGTCCGGTACGATCTTGCTGTACTCGATGAGAATACTTCCAAAGTTGCGAACTACGGCAGGGTCGTTTCTGACTTCGAAACGTGAACTGATAGCGACTTGGTCACTTCCTCGCGTGATGACCTTCTATTTTCAGTGGACAAGAGCACAGAGATTAGCAAGACAACTCACTAACGGTAAGAAAGCATTGCGTGTGAGCGTCATAGGATATGTTTCTTGCACGACGGGGGTGAATTGCAGCATCTTCGGATACATGTCCAGCGGGGAGATAGTTCCTGAAGTGATTACGACGCTGCTGAAATGCTCGAATACGGGTTTGATTGCGAGCGACGGGTCCAGGCATCTGAAATGAATGCGGAGTAGGCAAAGAAAATTCAGAATAGATAACCAAACTCTCACGTGAAGTGGAAGATGGGATTAGGAACGGTCGCGTTGTCGGTTTCGAATGGTTCAAGAATAAGAAGAAACCCTGTAACAGAGTTAATATCGACATTGATAAGAATCAGGGTTCAAACCCTTTTCGTAAGTTGCAACGAGGGTTGCAAAACTTGCGACCTTCTGCAATGCCGAGTACTCATCTAGCCGATTCAGCTCCAATGTACGGATCATCGACTGTAGTCGCTCTGCACAAAACCTGAAGGCTGACGTTAAAGAAAACAGGCGGAAAGAAAACAATACTTGCCGCAGTGGTCGCCGCTCAATATAAGTGATGTCTTTTAAATGCTGTAGAAACGACAATGGCGTTTCCGCAACGACATGCAAAACGCGCATCCTAGTCTATGGTAACTGTCAATAGAGTGTGCTGCATGAGTGTCAGACCAAAAACCTTAAGATATTCCACGAATCGCTTCAAAAATGCCACAAAATGTTCGGCCTTCCTAATGTTTCCTGGAACAGCTTCTTTTAGGAGGTCGTCTGGCAAAACTTTCCCGGAAATTTCAGTAGAGTGGAAGGCTGCTTTCTTTCTCGACGAACCTGGGTTGGCCATGAATGCGTCTTCATCAGAAGCTTCCGCCGCCGATTCCTGTAGCCCCTCGACAAGTCTCGCATACTCGTCCTGTAGTTTGGCCGCGTCCGTTTTCTTGATCCTAAAAATATACTTGAGTGCTACGATCACAATAATATATAAAACACTAACTCGTCTATTTTTTCACCCAATTTCACAACACTGCGTGCAGCTGAATCTAACATCGGTCGGGTCAAGTCAATGCTCAATGACTCGATGCACACATTGTCTGCGATGAATTATAGAAAAATCAAATAGTGATTCGACGAGGTCCTACCGATATTGTGAGCTTCGTCAAAAACGACGATGGCGTCTTTTGAGAGTTCTTTGGAAACTTGTTCGGCAACTTTGGGATCAAGCAGATAGTGGAATGAATAGATGATGACATCCACGAACGGCATCTTGCGCAGTTGATGAAGGCTACTATGTGATATTGACGTCACTCACCATTCGCCGAACTGTGAAGTATGGACATGTCTTGTTTTCACGCCCGTGCTGAAGAACATCGGCTAGTGTCCATATGCCAGGGGGTATCAAGGACCCAGGTTCACCTTTACCCAGGTTCTAAGATGACTTAGCACCCATGGGGCAACTGGTGCAAATTTCAAAGACTCACCTCATGCCAATCGCACAATTCGACTGAACCTGGGTCTGCGCGACCTTTCTCACATGCAGCAGAATTGGTGAGGTCTCGGCAACGGGCGTCGACTACCTTGCCCTTCTTCTCCTTTGAGACCTAGAAAGGTAGCATACAGAGAAACGTAAGCTGTGGAACGGATGTTATAAAGTGTGTACTCACATCTGGGTGTATGCAGAGGTTCTTCCTACTCGTGAGTCCGAGTCCCATGAAACCTTTTTCTTTTGCTTCTTGTTCGGGAGTCTCCGCAAACTTGATTCGGTATGCCATGAGACGCTTCAGCTCGGCCAATGCTTTCTCGATCTCTGGAACCGTCCGCGAGCAATATATAAGTTTCCGTCTCGTGGGGTAAAACTAGCGAGAAGCGCTGAGAAATCTGCTGTGATGCGAGCTTGGAAACGTACCTGTTGATATGACACAATTAGAGACAGCAGCGAAACGGTCTTTCCTGTTCCTGAAGGCATCTCCAAAACGCAATGCCCCTAGAAGAAGGCGGTCAGAATAGCACGTCCAGGACAATATCTACGTGTGCTGTACTGTTGCATCCAGGGTTCTTTTGAGGTCACACATGTATGCATATTGTTCTGCAGGTAACAGAGTTAACGTGGAGCATGGCTGGCATTTGACTGCACGAACCAGGGTAAATTCGGTCATAAGGGAAAATAATCTGAAGTAGAGAACTTCAGCATCACTAATGTCCACCAGATATAACAATACAAACAGGTAGATTGTCGATAAAGAACTTCATGAACACCGGACTCGCAGATGGTGGCAAGGAAGTCAGACCGTCAAGTTGTCAACCTAACGAGGCAGCGTGACCGTTTGTCACAATCGCGTTGCCGCACTATTCTAGGCTACGGTTTGTTCAACGCCGACACTCTACGCAACTCAGTTCCATGGTACTCTGGATCCAAATATTCACGGCTAACATCACGCTGCAGCATGTTCTTGCCTCAGTGAACAGTAAGTCGATATGCCCTTAGTAGTTCTCAACATCACTCCCGCCACATCCAACAGCTCTTACACTTCCGCCACCTTCAGTGCATCTTGCATAATCCTCCGCGAGATCCATACACTGCTTTGGAACACTACCAGGCTGTAGCAACTCATAAGCAACGCGAAGATGTCAAGGTCTGCTCCTTCAGCGCCATTCTTTTCTCCCTCATCCCTAGGCCTCCGTCTGATGCATGCATCCCACCCGCCCTCGCGCCGTTGCCCACTTGCTTTCTCGCACCCTCCCGCCATCTTATGCCCTCCCGCTGTTGCCCACTTGCTTTCTCGTACCCTCCGCTGTTGCCCACTTGCACCCTCCCGCCATGCATCGCACCCGCCCCGGTATCATCTGATAAATCTGTAGCACGGGGGAATACTGTCACTCTGTAAAGTTCACGGAGACTTTCTGACGCGATGCGAGAATTGACGCAATCCTTTTTCTCGCAGTACCAACCACTCGCGATCACCTAGCAGATGCTTGGTAGGAACTTCATGTGTCACAAGCCGGCCACCGTCTGTGCTGCCCAAGACGCCCAATACAGGGATTAGTTCTGCCTTTGATATGTCGCGACGACAGCGAACAACTCCGTTGGACGCACAGCCCCCTTCAAGCTGGTCAAAGTGCCCTGCGCCTGCCAGCAGACGCAAAGTATTGATGGCGGATCTCAGCCTGCTCTTAATGACTCAGAAGTGCGCAACTCCTTCTATGTATATCCACCCGTTGAACCTAACTGCAATTAGTCGTCTTTCTCCTCCAGTCTCAGTGTGTTCAGTCGAACGCGCACGCCGTCAAATCCAACGAGTCCTTCAAGCATTTCCATAGGACTATTCTTTCCCAACTCGACTGGCGCGTCACCTTTCGCGCGGCCACACTCCCGCACACAGTATCAGCCCTTCACAAACATTGGGATCCACTACTTTTCTCCAGACTGGGATCACCTCTCTTCGGGAGAGTATTCACCTGACATGGATTCATTTTTTGACTACCCGCAGAAAGGCAACAGCTTTGCGCGCCAACTCTCCTCGTTGCCCATGCCACGCTCAGCATCTGATTCGGACTCTGGCGAGAACGGTCCATATTTAGGCTTAGTTACGGAACGGTCAGCAACATCATCAACTTTGTCTCTGAAACCTACGGAGCGGCTGGAGGCATCGCCGAAGGCCAACGCAGAGCTTGGGCGCAAGCTGATCGAGGCTGAGAGGACACTTGAGAACAGGCTGAATATTAATCAGCATGACATGGATTTGGATGAGATGCAGGGGCGCTTAGAAGAACTCAAGAGTGGACTCACCTCTACCAAGCTGGAGGAGGTGCTCCGAACGAAGGGGGTACGTAATAGATGAAGTACTTGGACAATGTCTGTCGACGCGCACAAGGTGCGATGGCATCCAAGTGAAACACCTTTAGGTTTGATGGACAGATCAGTGAATCAGGGTTATCGACTTAGTTTGGCTAGAAGTCCACATCATGAGTCTGGGGTTTACACTGACTGCTTCTGAAGTTCTGGACCCAAGAAGCAAGCCAAGAAGTAACCTTAACTCTGACCTCAACTTTACGGATGCCGGCTTTTAGATACTAACCGCGTAACGTTAGCGCGCTCGGCAAAACTATTGTGCACTACTGAGTCCAGTAACAGTGGGAATCCGGTATACGTGTACATGGGGTATGGGGTCTAGTGTTGAATTGAAGAAGAAACAAAGACTCAGAATAATACACTGCGCGTACGGGGAGAAGGTCTCGTCTAGTAGGTTTAGGGTGTTTAGGACGGCATTTACATCGTTTCGGCGCTGCGGGTTAGTTTAGCGATCCCGATTTGGTGGCAAAATGACTTCATCATTGTAAAATTTTAAAGCCCGACTTGCAACAATCACAACAAATTTACAGCATCTTTGGCAACGTTGCTCCTACAAGTTACATAAGCGCCTCTAATGATTTGTATTCTGTGAACCGTGCTCATGGCCTCACAATGGTTTTATGAACTGACTCATTGAATTGAAACTGCAAACCGGTTCTACTATTATTACTGGCTGATACCATAGTCTCCACAATATAATAGATTTAATACGTCACAAAAAATGTTCTACCGAAATATATGCTTCTAAAGTTACATTTGTAAAAACAAAACTGTACTGGAAGTCCGCACAGATGTCCAAGAAGGGTGACGTGAATTGTCAGATTGTACAACAGAGAGCTCCGTATGTCCGTTGAATCCAAGAGAGTCAATATAGCATTCATTCAAACATAACATCAAGTGTCTTTCAGTCCGCGGCAATGCTTTGGGCCGAGTTCCCAAGGATTTGCTGAACAGTATTGGTGCCGGTACTACGAAGAGGTCAGTACATGTCAGAATAGAATGATTGGACCACGAACATAGCGTAACCGTCATTGGGGGACTCGCCAGTGGTTTGTTGGGGAGTGGGTGTCTCTCCTGGGCTACTCGGCGTAGGCGACTCTCCAGTGGTAGTAGTGGGGGTGATAGTAGTACCCGGTTCAGCTGTAAGGCCGGACTGACCCCACTGGTACTGCACTATGCCGTTGAGTCCCGAAGCAATACCAGCTAATCAAATATTTGTAAGGTCGGAAAAGATATTAAGGATAATATTGAAGAACGCACTATTAAGCCATGTCGTGTAAGTTGTTGCTTGCTGTTGGTCGGTCACACCATAACCAAGCGTGGATTGTCGCTTCGCAAGATTTTCAGAAGCAAATGGAGCAACCGTAGAGTTGAATGGCACGAAGTCAGGAGCATTGGCTTGCGTAACTAGACCAAAGGCAGTGAGCACCGCAGGTTTCCCGACGCTGAGATAGACATCAGACATCCAAATACATTGAATAATCACAAGATGCTCACGCAGCAGCACTTTGGGCCTGAGTGGTGATCCACTGGGCACCGTTTTGCTCTATACTTTGCCAAGACGGAACATTCGGGTCATCAGGACCGTATGATTGCTGGTCGGGGAATAGCTGGAAGGAAGAGAACCCAATATCTGGAATGTTCGAGATGTCTTGACTGTCGACGCCATATGAACCGTCATACAGTGACCCCGAAGTCGAACTCTGTTGCCTCTTGGTAGCTGTCGAACATAATCAGCTGAGAAACTGCTATGATGTGTTTGGACTTGCCTGTCGAAACCCATCGTCCTCTGACTCGTACACCGTCTTCCACCAGAGTCCCCGCACGCTTCGCAACTTCTCTGTTGCGGCGTTTCCTCTCAGATTCTTCTCGAAGGATTTGCTTCTTCGTCACGGGTTTTGCTTGGCTGCGCTTCTTTTTCCCAGGAGCCGGAGATGTTACAGGAGGTGCTGGTGCTGTCAGGGGATATAATTTCGGACAATCTGGACACAGATATCCTCCAACACTAGATCAGCTGTCAGACGGTGCCTATGATTTTTATCGACATTGTGACATACCCCGAAGAGATGAGGTGGTTTGGATCAATGCTGCGGATGTGCGCAGCTACCGTTGCATGCCAGGTCGTGATCGTTTCTGTCGTGCAGGTAGCAGATGCTGGCAAGGTAGAATTGCACCTGGATAAAGTGTATTGAGCTGAGCGGCTCCGAAGGATATGCCATCACGTACCTGGCGTCATTAGCCAATTCATAACTGAAGACCGATGGACTGTTCACGTAGCGGGAGACCACTTGCGTCGTATAATTCAGGAAAGACGTTAGTACTGATGGATTCGTATAGAACTCGTCATGAGTTTGGAGGCCGAATTGGCGAACATATGTATCCATGCCACCTAAAGTCATGATCAAAAAGATGCAGGGATCAAGAGTCTGATCAAGACCAACCGTAGTTGTTAGATAGATAATTGCGAGGACGAGTGGTGTTCGAGAGTGACACAGGGTCCCAGTTGTTCGTAAGAGATAGAATGACATATAGGCCTTGCTCTTCAGCCAATTGAATGACTGTGTCAAGCTTCTGTAGGCCGTTTGGCCCATTGTTGACGGAAACGGTGCCATTCTGAACAAGCTGTAACCAAGTGCCATTCACGGGGATGGTTTCCACATCTGACCGTGATTGATGGTATCATTTGCATCGAAAGGGTAAAACAGGGATAAATACCATTGAATGCCCATAATCTGACGACCTTGATGCCAAGAGCTGATATGTTTGCCAGCGTGTTCCGTATATCCTCGTTCGTGTTTAGCGTAGGTAGCCAATAAACATTAGTACCGATGTACTTCAATGAACTGATTGAAGATGAGTTATTACAGGTTCACAACCAACATGAATTGATCCATACCTCCCGTTCACCACAAAGCCAGAGCCACTGGTGCCTACAAAGGGACTGGAAGCCCTTGTGTCAATGGTTCGTGATGGAATGGCAGCTACCACGGAGGCCCAAAGGATGCTGAAGAACAACGTCCCCCAAGGTAGGAAGTTCATGGTAGCGTAAGTTACACACACCAGAGGCAACCCGACAATAAGTGAGAGGCGAGAAATGAAAATGATGCAGACATCGAACTATAAGTAGGGTAGACCCTAGTACAGGTAAAGCTTCTGTACTACGTGCCTGACAGGAAGGTACGCCGCTTCGAGTGAGAACATCATGCGTGTGACTCGTGTTTGTTTCCAATCGAGCCAGGCGTCAATATTCAATACCGGTGTTCAATCCGAATGAGCGTGATGTTGGAAAGAACCACCGACAGCAAATCGGAAGAACACCTAGTAGCAGGCGGACAAACGGTCTATCCGAACGGAGATCACATGTGGTGAGAGTGACGCGGGGGGGGATACGACTGACATGAGCTGATGGCGCGAAATGTTATCATAATCATGTTCACAAGCCTGTCGGCAGACACAGTCATGGTGCCAACTTGACAGGGTCTTGCCCTGCCGACGCCTGCGACGTTTCGATCCGAGTCCCTACGGATATTTGCCGCCACCGCCTTGAGTAAATTCACAAACTTTGAAACGCATGCTACAACACACGTTTCCCTGCAGGCAAGTAATGGCGGTGGGCAGTGTATGTAACATTACATGACAAGGAACACAGCCAAAGCACAGCAAAGTAAACTGATCAACTAAATTTGGAAATTAGTACTGACGCGTGGGGGGAATGATGGCCGACTCATCAGCTCAAAAATATCTTTGCAAGTGCCCCTTGAATCTCTGACTGCTCATGTGGTCTTAGCTTTCAGATTTCCGCAACAATAACGCTGAACCGAGTGGTCAACCTCTTATCAAGATAGTTATCTGACACGAGGTTCTCGCAACCTTACGAAACTTCTGTTGTTCATCAAATTTCCAAACTTTAAGCTTGAGCGCTTGAGTTACAAACAGCTCCAATGCTCAGAGCATTTACGAACTTGCATACCCGCCCGTTGCGTGTCTATGCACCCCTAGTACCCAGACATCGTCGGCTCAAATCGCAGAGTACGGGCAATCAGCCCACATCACGACAAAAAGATGCAGCTGCGGCGGAACAACCCGTTCTCATTGAGAATCCCTTCACCCAATCCACATTGTTTACTCTGGACTTTTTCAAACGCCTGGCAAAATTTTCCCTTATAGGTGTCTTTGCACTCGGGATCACCGGATGGACAGTATTCGAGGGTTTACATATGTGGGTAGAGAACGTCGAACTCGCATGCGATCAAGATAGCGAAGTACGCAGATGGGAGTGGGATCACGAAGCTGAGAAGTGGTCAGGCGGGGACGGAGGTGGAACGGACCCGGCACTTGGGTTCAAAGGCAGGCATGCTGTTCGTAGTGCATGGATTGCCGAGAACTGGGGAACGGGCTCAGGAGCGATCATCAGCCGCTCGAACACACTTTCGGGACGAGGCTCCCAGAGTACAGGTAGTCTCAATGTTGTAGAGGCTCGCCTGGAAGTCTCCCAAAAATTCATGGCTCTTGCCATCAGCATTATCGAAGGTAAATTGCCGTCCGGCAAGTTACGCCCACAAACTATGGGCGAGCTACTCGCCCGCCACGCTTCCATTCTCGAGCGGATGGGGACAAGGGATGCACTTTTGCAGGCCCAGTCCCGGTATGAGCGAGTGTGGGCTGGGCTGTCCGCGAAGGGTGCGGATGCTGCACGAGTTGCATTAAAACTCGGGGACCTTGACTATCGTCTTGGGAACTTTGAGGACGCGCTTGGATGGTGGGCGCGGACTATCAACCTCACCCAGGGCACTCAGCAAGCAAATATTCCGGCTCCTGAATTAACACAAACCATCCCTTCATCTCCGTGTGCACAACGCACGCTTGCCTCCACGTTAGTATCACTTTCCGCCTACTATTCCACCTCTGGCTACCTTAAGCAAGCGCAACATGTACAGGAGTCCGGACTCGATCTCCTACGCTCGATTCCGTCTCCTTCCAGAATTTCAACAGCATCTCCGCCACAGGCATTGCATTCACTATTTCTACTTCACCGATCGTCTCTACTTTCCATTCACCTTGCGGAAGTTCTCTACGCCCTCCGCACAGCACCTGAACAGTCCATACAATGGCTCGCGCGTGCTGCAGAATCGTCCGAGCGAGTTGCTCTCGCCCTTGCAGGTCTCCCATTCACCCATCCTGATGCACCAGGCTCGACAGTTCCCCATCCGCCCGCCTCGGAAGCATCCCTAGTTCCCGTGTATGCGAAATCGAATGCGATGCGAAAGCCGGCTAAAAGCCTTCTCCGCGATGCTCGCCGGACGGCTGCTGAAGCCTGGAATCTCATGGGTATACTGAAGGAAGGCGAGAAAGATGGCGCGGAACGCGCCCTTGAGTGTTATGAACGCGCCCTGGGGTGGGCAGGTGTTGCAGCGGACCGTTCTGGCGGCATTGGTGAGCCTGGGGAAGGCACACCAGAAGCAGAATGGAAAGTACTTTGGAATAACTATGTTCGTGTGCGCGAAGCGACACGGAAGCAAACGGCAAAGAAAACAGCCCTAGATTGAATTCGTCATATGCTGTTTGTGGCTGATTTGTCGGATAACTCGCTGTCTTTTACTATTCTCATTCAGAACCAATTAAGATATGGGCATGGCGCATGATATACGATATATGATAAGTCAAATGACGTTCTTATTATTGGGGTGGTGGCGGCAATGGGCGGTCGGACCAGTTCATCTTGAATTCATGCGCTGATTTTTTGAATTAAGTCTGTATGTAATCGCATGCAGTAGCGGGGCGCGCGGCTGGCATCACCGACTTCTCCGGTTTGATCACACTTCCCACATTACATAATATTCGAGGTCCTCCTGCACTGAGCTGTCCTCGACTTCGACGACGAAGTCACATTGTGATCTGGTTTGATTCGAAAATGATATATCTGAAAGTGCGGCTACAATATTCGGTACAACAATCGTACATCGATACATCATGGTCCTAGACAGGTTTTCCCCGATGCTTGACAGTCCTTGTCACTGGCAGTCCAGCATACCCCAGATTATACAGGGCCGCCCCGCCAGTGGAGACAACCCTTTATAGACGAATGAATACAGCCTTCCTTCTAATAAGGCGCAACATACTTGCGCCATCATTAATCATTCACTGACGCCTATCATCACATGTTCACAACACCATGCAGCTATGCGGGCCTGCACAGTGCAAATGGCACTGCACTTGTATGTTTTCCTGTCGCGGAACATACCCGATGTGATACCCGCGGGTTGCTCCTACATTACAGATCTTACGGTCGGATTACTACAGTTGCTTTCATATCGGTGCACCATATTTCACTTTTTCCCCTTAGAGCCTCTATTTACTGATTTCCCTGTGCTGGGCAAACAACAGGGTCCTCTTTTTTACGATACAATTCGGGCGGAATACCCTCGTCATCAAGGGACTCGCTTCACTCAGCGCTGAGGCCCGCGACTATTCCACGTATTTTTGATGCATTGGAGTTATACGACATTATAATCACAACAAGTACCCACTTTGCACAATTTTACCAGTTATGACGACCAAAGGATTTCAATGCCTATCAAGCTGTTTGATGGCCACTGCAGGATGTGTGGCACGTCCAGGCAGAGCGCCCTTGTCATTTCGCCTGACCAAGATCGAAAAATGAAATCTTCTATCGATATGAAAGTAGCGGCTGTAATGCCTCGAGTTCCGCTTGTTCTCCACTTCCCAAAGTTCGTGAATGAAGCCGCCTCGCTCTCACAGGCTCTCGCTCATATCATATAGCTGGACACATGTCCTAGTTTGAAAATCAACGGCATTCCTGAATCCTTACTAGGCTGATGACAGTTGACTTCACCGTCACAAGACGTGGTCTGACGTGGCCCGTGGATTCCTGCCAAGTTAATCATTGCTGATCCACCTCCAGTTAGGCCCGTGACCAGCCTGACTTTAAATTATACCCTGCGGACAAGTCGTGTAACGAAGCCAGGCTAGTCGATCTCGGAGAGATTTGGCAGACGAAGCACGGAGTTTGAATTTGCGTCTACCGTCAATGACTCAATGGTCATGCAGACTGTGTTAAACCTCCAACCATGTGCATGAGGCTTATCATTACTTCTGTCCCATCTTTGTCGTGTGCTGCTCTAGAAGCAATCGACAGTCTACCAGTGGATTTTACGAATACCCTTTCGACGAAACATGGCAAAGCCAGCAAACTCCCGAAGCTTTCGCACAACTCGACCTTATTTCGCGAGGAACACAACATCCTAGATTCTTTCAGTTCAAATGCATGATATAATTATTGATAGTGCATACTACGATGTCCATGACCGTCATTGGAAGCCTACGAACAAATTTTAGGATGGCCAGGTTTTGCGATCTCAGTCAAGGCTCGAAGGCTTAGGAAATCAAAATCAAAAGTCAACAGGTGGCTGGTGTCGGGGCATGGCCGGGTGGAATGCAGTCAAATAGTATCATTTTATTATCCTATTCAATGTTCGGTACTACTACTCCATGCGATATGCATATGCTGTTTGAGAGGCATACAGTACTTTGTACGATGTGAAGCAAATTTCAAACCCCGCGATTCGCAGTAAAGACTGGTTGCGAGTCTAGACGTCTATCCTCCAGCGGTACAAGTCATCGCCAATGCATCACTCTGGGCCTTTATATGATGATTTATATAAAACGACACATATGGGAACGATTTGTAAGTATCTGCCTACGAGATGAAAAAGCCATCTAAAATACGCGATCAGCGTCGTCCAAGCCCACTCATTCCCCATGCAACACTCGACTGCACGAAATCAAATCTGCCCAATATCCGTAGTGTCAGGTCGCGAATAGAAGCCCAACTGAACGGCATCCACCAGGCATATGGATCATACCCAAGGCTTGCGAGTTTCAGAAGTTTCTTGGTGAAGTCAATGGTTTCTAGCGCTCGCGCGTGACGCGCTTTCGCAATTTCCTGCAGAATGGTATCATCTACATCTGGATCTTCTGCAGAGGCCTGGATGTGCTTTGTAACAGCCTCTGCAAGGAAGATCGCGTCCCTAATAGCCAGGTTCATGCCCTGGCCGCCCGCGGGTGAATGTACATGGGCTGCGTCCCCAACTAGGACAATAGCAGCGCCAAGACGTGTGAATGTGCGGTCAGCGATTGCCGAATGGGTTCTGAAACGTGCGGACCAGAACAACTGGTCGATCTTAACAGGTGACCTGTTAAGAGAGGAATCCGATGTTATACATGCTGGGCCGTATGTGTCGATCATGTCTTGGATGTACTCTTTTGGTGGCGCATGGGGTGGCTCTCCGTTCTTCACCGGTATGGCACAACTTACACGGAAGACAGATTTTGTGGTGGGCTCTCCATCTCGCGTCAGCTCCACATTGAAGCGGTTACCGAATGGTATAAGCATGAAGAAGCTGTCTGACGAAACCGTGCCATTGAGGTGACCCTCGAGGGTTAGCGGACCGGTAGGTTCGGGCTCGAACGTAACATCTGCAGCGACCATTTGAGAGAGTACATCACTGACTAGATTCGGGCTTTCTGGATCACAGAAGCCAATTCCAGCAATGGTACGGATCTAGATATTGTTGTCAGATATTATACAAAGCTAAAGCTAATTTAACAGGGACTGAGCTCTCACCGATGAGCGGGCGCCATCTGCGCCGATGATATATCTAGCTCTGATTATTTGACCGTCCTCAAAGGAGACATCGGTAATGCGAGAATCCTTCTCGCTCTGTTTCATTCCAACCACCCTGTGCGGACGCTGTACTTTAACTCCAAGGCTCTTCAGCTTCTGCCCCAGGGCAAGCTCCGTCACATTTTGAGGGGTAACGAGTGGGTAAGGGTAGGCAGGATATTTCTTTAGAGGGTCGAATTTGGCCTCAAAGATCTGTGAACCCCGGGATGCGATTCTGATACTCTTCGCCTTGATGGCTTGAGACAGTAAGCCGTCTGCTGCATTGATGCTGGCTAAAGCCTATAATCATAGGGTCATCAGCGGATTCTATGAACGCTTACGCGTCAGTGTACCTCGACGGTTGCAGAGTTTATGGAATAAGCCCGTGATGCATTTTTTCCTTCGACTGTGGCATCGGCAATAACGAAGTCACGACACCCGTGGTAGGCGAGAGAAAGAGCAGCTGTGAGACCAGCGGGCCCTGCGCCGACGATAAGTACCGTCGTGTTTTCAGGTAGAGACATTGTCATAAAGAATAAAATTGAGTCTTCCATCAGATGGATGCACCCGGTATATCAGTGAGGCCACCTGCAACGTCATACATGCATACAGCGGGTCCTGCCAGCGGTTACGGATTTTGGAAAGCAGGAGTGAACTGTGACTGGCAAAATACTCATACATATCAGCTGAACAGCTGCATAACAAGCAACGCTCATCATTATGGCCGCTTCTCCAAGCGGATCCCTTTGATAGAAGGAAGACCTTTCCTTATCATTTCTTCCGTTCAATGCCCTACTATTTCCTCAGACTAAATTAACGATGCATGGCTACATGACCTCGGCCGCTCTATGAAAATACATGTCCAGCGTAGCGCTTGAAGACCCCCTGGCAACACCTATGATATCCCATGGTCCTAAAAGTAGCGCGTCAGCATTATGAAGATGCCGACGGAGCATCTAGGTGGACCTGTTGGATATTGATACTTATATCGATACCCAGAGGAGTAGGACACAAAACACGTCATTTTCACTGACAAATAAGAGTATATATTTGGCGTCAGATCCGCCAATCGAAGCTTGAAGGCTCAAGCGCTCACAGCCTACCCCCAAGGAGAACGCGAAGTTGTTTTGGTATTACAGCAAGTCCACAGTTACATAGTACTACCGAACAGTTGAGTTTCCTCCCTTTTTGGACCCACGGTGACGTTTCGCGGGTTGTTCCCTCTTCAAATCCGGCAGCAAAGGCGGATAACATGTGGGCATCAGATTTATCGCTAAAGAACGGGCCACGCTGTCATGAATCGTACGAGTTAACCTATCGTTGGGCTACTATCCTTGCCTCCAGTGCTGTCAGCCATGAAGCTATTGTGGGATAACCTATCATGTCAAGTTTGACTCATTTATGTATTCGTCAGGAGACCGCGTATGTTTTATACATCTAATTGAATGTTCCGCGAACAAAATACTGTTGGGATTCGGGATAGCATGGCCGCAGCCTGCACAACCACCTATCTGTGTGTTCTGTTATCTTTTCTGGTCAGAGAATAAATATCAGTTTGATTGCAAGATAAGTAAAAACTTATCTACGAGAAAAGAATGTGAGCAAATATATGTGCAAAGCTCCAAAGGGGTTTTCTGGCAGAAACAACGCTCCGAACCCATGAGGGCGGCAGGGTCACTGCAACCTGCACTCAAGGTCGTGGTGGACTCTCGGTGTTTAGGGGTGTCACGGATGCGTCGAGTAAAGATAATGGTGATGTTATGAATCGTAGTTCTATTCGTAAATTCTGGAATTTGACTTTATTCTGTAGTACTTGTTCAAGTTGGTCGCGAGACGCATGCTGTCGAGGGTGCGGTGGGCGGGAGCGAAAGAACGAGCACACTACAACTTCGGGTATGGAAAGGTTAGTGTACGAAGCAAAGAAGAGATGTCCCAAAAAGGATATCTGCCGACCTCGGACTCGCTTAGCACACAACATCCACAACTAACTTGCAACGTTAATTTCGTGAGGTTGTATCGTCTGCGTTGCAGCCTCCCGAGCTTATTGTTTCTGCAGGTATTTTCAGTTATAATATTCAGTTGTTCTTTCATTTGTGTCACGAATCATCCAGGATGTCCTCTCCCGCTGCTGTTCCGACTACCCCGAGTCTTCACACGGGAGAGTCATATCAGGAGAAAGCTTGGAGAAAATTTAAGGAGCAACCACTAGTCCCTATCGGTGCGCATGATGCTACGACATTTTCCAACCACTTTGTCCCCCGAATCTGATGACTCGCGCTGTGCTAGGTACCCTTTTGACATGTGGTGCACTGATCATGGCTACCGTCAAAATGAAACGAGGCGACTCCCAATCGCTGAATAACTGGTTACGTGTTCGTGTCATTGCTCAAGGTGCAACTATCGCAGCTGTCTGTGCAGGAACCTACGCACTGGGTTCAACTGCTGGCGATGAAACAAGGCAGACGAGACAACTCGACGAGATACAGGCACATAGAGAAGCTCGTGCTGGCAGGGATCGAAAGGAATTCGAGGACAGGCTGAAAGCTGCGGAGAGGCAGTGGAATGAGACTGAAGGTGCTTTGTCAGGGAGGGACTCGAATACGAATATTGCCAAGGGCGACTCAACATCGAAAGCGCTGCCATCCGTTCAAGGCCAAATGCCTCAGAATACTTCGTCACGGCCTGGCGCAAGTTGGTGGTGGTTTAAGTGGCCGTGGGGTGGATCCTCGGCTTCCTGAAGTACTTCACGAAGCAACCAGAAATTTTTGTAATGCAACGACCTGAGCTACCTATCTCTTCTCTACAGATGCATAACAATACAGTCGACTGTCGCCGGCAAATCAGAACAAATTCTCATTGAAGCAAGAGAACAGCATGACGCTGAGAATTGACTATGTGACAGTCAATGCTCAACGTTCAACAGTGACGTGCAGTCTTCCTGCTGGTGTCCATGTACCATTCTGTGCAGTGCGGCGAACATGATCTCTATTATGCTTTCATCATCCACACCTAGTATCCGGTATTTTCCTAGCTCACGTATCTCCTCAGGTACGCACTTCACTCTGTTCTTCGACTGCCAGCCGCGCACCGCCATACAGTTGATTCATGACTGCACACCGTCTTAATACCGAAAGCTCCTTCATAGCCTCGTTATATGCATGTGAAAGCTTGATAGGATCTTGTTCTGCCTAAGCCAATTACATCAGGATATCATGCTTGGTAGGATTATTGAGTCAAAACACACTTGGATCCCACGGAATGTATCCTCCGTCCTCCGAACGAAATAGGTGCGAAAGTTATATGAACTGAATGATTTCGCCGTCCGCAAGGTGGATGCATAGAGATCTAATATGGCTTTACGGGCAGGTGGAGTCGCCATTGTTTCGAAACAGAGATGGGAAGCAAAGCAAAGCAAGAAGTCCCGGTGCCGGGTGAACGCTTCTAGGACGTGTACGTAACGCTTATTATATAAGCGGAAGATTCATGACTAAATCAACTTGCGGTGCATCGTGGCTTACCGTCAAAGTACCTCATGTTGTGGAAGGCTGAAACCGATATTCAACCTCTTCTCTCGTTTCAGCCTCCCACATCACTGCAGGCAGCTAAATATTTCTTGATTGCCTACCCTCGCAACACTACACAACATTTCGTTTATCGAGCAGTGCAGTGGCTAACTTGGAGGCACATCCAATAACTCGAGGATCTTCTTGACCCTCTGGTTGCCTTCGATTCCCAGATACTGAGGCTTTGGACATATGTGCCATCCCATCGGGATCAGTCTTCTGTGTTTCTAGGTATCATCAATCTGGGTAAGTCCTTATCATGTTATCTATTACAAGAGGATAGTCTTGCGTGGTGTGTATGTTTCCCGACTTCTTGGTACCCCGCTGGTCCTCAGAGCTGATTTAGATGGCTTCTTCAGGCATGTCTAACTCTTCTTTTCACCCCTGTCATCTCAATTTTAATGTCAGCTGGAGATAGTATCATATACTCACCGGACCGATCACAGGGATCACGGATAGTGTGTACTTCTCATTATTATCCTGGATGTATTTGGATGTGCGAAATGATGCAACGTCGCTGTTAACCTCACGATGCATTCGTTATCGTTCGTTTTGCATCAGATTCGCACTCAGACCCTTACGATATTACTTTCAATCCTTGTGACATTATACCCGAGGCGGAGGTTGTCAGTGGATGCAACAACTCGGGCTGAGAGTGCCGATAAGCTCATCGAGAATCATCGAGACGCCGGCAGGTTTCTTCGGTGAACACATCACGCATAGGCTTGTATTAGATCGATGATTTAACTGATCGGAACTTCAAGTCTAGTAAAGAACGATACTCGGTATCCCGCGCGGCTTTTCGAAACTTCGTGTTGTTCAAGCATTCCGCGTGTGTAACACCGCCTCGCAGGCCCACAATCAAGTCTTCCATACATCCAGTTGATACAACTGACGACTTCCGGTTCATACTTGACAGTGCATATGGCTATTAAACAATGGAGAGGTGAAGGTAAAAAGAATGGAATTATTTCCACAATAATTGCTCATTATCTTCTCCCCAGTCCACTCATCGCCCATGCCATCCTTGCTTGCATGAAGCCAAGCTTTCCGCCAAGCCACATCACCCAGTCTCGCACAGTAGTAGCCGAGATTGGGAACAGCCACGATATTTTCTTATCTTGCGTCCCCAAAAGTGAATTCAAGTTCTTAGTAAATGCAATCACTTCTAGAGCACGTTTGTGCCTCTCCTCTGCAAATTCACGCAAGATATAATCAGGGTCGATGCTCGAGGGCTGCGAATTAGGCTGCGAAGTAGACGCATTTATATGCTTTACGAGGGCATCTCCAAGGAATACTGCGTCACGGATGCCAAGGTTCATGCCCTGGCCGCCTGCGGGAGAGTGAATGTGCGCCGCATCTCCGACGAGAAGGATGATACCACCACGTTTCGTAGTGGAGTCATCAGCCGCTACTGTAGCACCCTGAAGTTCGTCTCCACCAAGACGAGTGAACGCCTTTTCGGCGATTGCGGAATGCGTGCGGAACCGAGTTGCCCATATAATTTCCTTGATGCGTACCGGTCTGGAGCTGGGATTGACCGAAGCGTCTGATGATAGGACTGTAGGCCCGAATCGATCGACGAGGCTCTGTAGATACTCCTTGCTTGGTGAATACGGAATCTCTCCATCCACCAGAGGGACACCTGCGCCAATACGGTATATTTGGCCTCTGGCTTCTTGCCCATTCTCAGCGAGTAAGTCGTTGAACGAGCTTGGCAAGGGGATGGAAAGGAAGAAGCTCTCAGGGGACATCGTGATTAAAAAGTCGATGTTGTCTCCGCCTTCATAGACAATATCCGCAAGAACCATTTGAGCCAGGTTGGTAATCCTGTCACCCTTCTCGCCAGTCTTAGGGTCTGTAAAACTGATACCAGCCATCCGACGAACCTGTTGAAAAAAAGTCAGGACTAGTAAAAGTGACACGAGATACGACTTACAACAGAACGAGCGCCATCCGCGCCGATGACATACTTTGCAGTGATGGTCTTTCCATCTTCAAATACGACATCCGTGAGATCATCATCATTCTCGTTTATCTTCAAAGAAGCGACTTTGCATGGCCGGTGAACTGTCACGCCATAGCTTTTGAGTTTCTCGCCAAGAATATACTCGGTAAGATTCTGTGGGATGATGAGGGAATACGGGTGACGGGTGTATTTATCGAGAGAAGAGAGGTCGGTGGACACGAGCTTCGATGAGCGGTTACCAATATTGATGCTCCTTGCTTTGGTTCCCTTTGCTACAATTTCTTCCCCGCAACCTATGGTGTCCAGCGCCTTAACGGAACAGATGTGTATTATGATCGAGAGTTCAACTCAGTTGCAGTAAATGTAAATGTCGTACCTCGAATGTCGCAGCATGAACGACCAGAGCGCGCGAGGTATTCTCGCCTTGCTCAACAGCATCAACAACGACAAAATGCTTAAAGCCATGATGGAGGAGAGAGAGCGCTGTAACAAGACCGGAGGGTCCTGCACCAACGATCAAGACAGTCGTACTGTTTGGCATACTAGCGGCCATGTCAGCCATACCGTGTCGTACTGCAAACAGCTACTCTGGTAGTTAGCTTTTATCCTGCCAGTGTCCGGCCGAAGATACGGAACAAATATCCTATCGGACACGCAAAAGATCCGTCACGGTGTTAGTAGTACTAGTATTAGCACTAGCAGTGCCCTCGTTGCTGACTCGGTCATGATGCATGATGGTTTTGACGTAGCGATGCACGAGCGCAGTCTTGGAGTTTAAATTTCATCTTTGGAAGAGCGGAACTTGAAGCCACCGCTTCTTCTTTCCGCTCTTCCACCAGTAACTTGAAGAACTTCGACGAGTCTATCGTCGAGCTCCTTTCCTTTCTGTCGCTATCCCTACATTAATGTTCCTCTCTAGTAGTATTAGCCTTTACCCTAAGAAATAACTTTAATCCACCCTTTTCATTTCAACATGGCACATACTACTGGCTCTGAGTTTTTTTAGGCACCAAGCAAAAATCTGTCTCGGCCACACAAAAACCAAATCCTCCAACTCATCATTTGAGCACGCGTCGGAAGATTTGTTTGTTTTCTCTTTAAAATTCTCATTCACTGTTTCTTAGATATTCACACTTGATGAACATTGAACATATCTATCCTATCTCATTCAAAGGTCGATATTGTCCACTAACTCGCGACACATCAATCTCTCTCTTGCTCCACCTCAATGCTAGTAAAAGTATACCGTGACAAAGGTCATGATACTCGGCATCCCGTGCGGCTTTTCGAAACTTCGTGTTGTTCAAGCATTCCGCATGTGTAACACCGCCTCGTAGACCCACAATCAAGTCTTCCATACATCCAGTTGATCCAACTGGCAATTTCCGGTTCATACTTGGCCTCATATGACAGTGCTTAATACTCATGGCTATGAATCAAGTCAGGAGTGAATATTCATCCACATTGCGGCACCAGACAGTGGTGGTATATCTAAGCAGAAACGCCCCCGTTACACGTCCATGAAGTTCGCCGCCCCCTCATTCCCATCCCTCAAATGATTCTAGTTCTAAATGATTCCAGCTGGTGGCCGGCAGTTGGTTCGCCTGATGTTTACAGTTACTTTGTAGGTTCGTGAAACCCCGTCGGATGATCTCGGTGATGTCTTGATCTAACCATGATTGCAGTTTTGCAGTTGCTCCCTCTGCTGGGGCGATGTATGATTGGGGTGAGTGACACAGTATTAAAAATCTGGCTAAGAATGTAGATTGAACTAGTCTGGGTGAGCAGTGTCCTGCTGTCCTACATCAAATAACTTCATATGATTGATTCGAGATAGAGGTAACGCTGGTCCGCGGCATACAGTCTCCCATCAGTCTCAACGATTAGTGAACATTTTTCACCCTGTCATCCCTTAACTCAGCTTCTACGTAGGAGTGAGTGAGATTAACTTGTTGGTTCAATATTATGACAGTTTGTCTGGAGTCTTTGAGGTTCATCACTAACTATAACGTTTAAGCGTTCTACCCAACTGACATGCTGGGTGGTGAGTACTATTATTTGGCATATTAGTGCTATTTTCTGCGCTTCGTTCTTATGCATTCGTCACTGAGTATGATGAAACATTAAGAGTACATGAAAGTACTATGAACTAAGTACACGAGCCCGCAATATTAAATGATGGATAAATGAAGGTAAACAGTTCGAGCAATGATCGAAAAACGGAGAGGTGAAGGTAAAAAGTTCGGGCACGATTAAATTACGTCCACAAGAATTGCTCATTATCTCCTCCCCAGTCCACTCATCGCCCATGCCATCCTTGCCTGCATAAAGCTAAGCTTTCCGCCAAGCCACATCACCCAGTCCCGCACAGTAGTAGCCGAGATTGGAAACAGCCACGATATCTTCTTATCTTGCGTCCCCAAAAGTGAAAGTAAGTTCTTGGTAAATGCAATCACTTCTAGAGCGCGTTTGTGCCTCTCCTCTGCAAATTCACGCAGGATATAGTCAGTGTCGACGCTCGAGGGCTGCGAAGTAGACACGTTTATATGCTTTATGAGAGCATCTCCGAGGAACACTGCATCGCGGATGCCAAGGTTCATGCCCTGGCCGCCTGCGGGAGAGTGGATGTGTGCCGCATCTCCGATGAGAAGGATGATACCACCATGTTTCGTAGTGGAGTTATCAGCCGCTACTGTAGCACCCTGAAGTTCGTCTCCACCAAGACGAGTGAACGCCTTTTCGGCGATTGCGGAATGCGTGCGGAACCGAGTTGCCCATATAATTTCCTTGATGCGTACCGGTGTGGAGCTGGGATTGATCGAAGCGTCTGATGAGAGGACTGTAGGCCCGAAGCGATCAACGAGGCTCTGTAGATACTCCTTGCTTGGTGAATGCGGAATCTCTCCATCCACCAGAGGGACACCTGCGCCAATACGGTATATTTGACCTCTGGCTTCTTGCCCGTTCTCAGCGAGCAAGTCATTGAACGAGTTCGGCAAAGGCATGGAAAGGAAGAAGCTCTCGGGCGACATCGTGGCTAAAAACCCCAAGTCATTGTTGTCTCCACCTTCATAGACAATATCCGCAAGGACCATTTGAGCCAGGTTGGTCATCCTGTCACCCTTCTCGCCAGTCTTAGGGTCTGTAAAACTGATACCAGCCATCCGACGAACCTGTCGAAAAAAGTCAGAACTAGTAAAAGTGACACGAGATGAGACTTACAACAGAACGAGCGCCATCTGCACCGATGACATACTTTGCAGTAATGGTCTTTTCATCTTCAAATACGACATCCGTGAGATCATTATCATTCTCGTTTATCTTCAAAGAGGTGACTTTGCATGGCCGGTGAACTGTCACGCCATAGCTTTTGAGTTTCTCGCCAAGAATATACTCGGTAAGATTCTGTGGGATGATGAGGGCATACGGGTGACGGGTGTATTTATCGAGAGAAGAGAGGTCGGTGGATACGAGCTTCGACGAGCGGTTGCCAATATTGATGCTCCTTGCTTTGGTTCCCTTCGCTACAATTTCTTCCCCGCAATCTATGGTGTCCAGTGCCTAAATGGGGCAAATGTGTATCATGACCGAGAGTTCAACTCAGAGTTGCAATACATGTCGTACCTCTAATGTCGCGGCATGAACGACCAGAGCGCGCGAGGTATTCTCGCCTTGCTCAACAGCATCAACAACGACAAAATGCTTAAAGCCATGATGGAGGAGAGAGAGCGCTGTAACAAGACCGGAGGGTCCTGCGCCAACGATCAAGACAGTCGTACTGTTTGGCATACTAGTCACGTCGGCCATACCGTGTAGAATGGAAAGGGAGTTGTAATGCAAACGGCTACTCTGGCAGTTAGCTTTTATCCTGCCAGTGTCCGGCCGAAGATACGAATCATGTAACAGCTGCGAACCGTGACAAGTCTCCTGTGGGATGTGGCATTACCGTGTTAGTACTGGTAGTAAGAATAGCGGTGCCCTTGCGGACGAGTGTTGAAACTGTACCATCGGCCGACTCGTGACTAGGCCCGGATCTTGCTGACGTCACGGCCGGTGGCGACGCGTCTAGTAATTTGGTCACGCGCTTTTGATTTTTTATTCATTGCTCCAAGAGCTTGTCAAGTGAATGCTTCGGACCAAGCTTATTAATCGAGTGTTAGACTCGAGATCTTATCAGTCAACAATCTCCCTCCGCAGTTCACCACTGCTTCGTACCCAACTTCATCGAAATATGGTTTCCGCAGCTGCAGACCGCTTCTTGGCCGACAAGGCTCCTCCGATCTGCCGTGTCGAGGTTGCGAAGTCATTCTCACAACTCACGTATGTACCGTTCAGCTGCCAGAGGTCGGCTCAGGCTGTTGATTATTATGCAGACAAAAGGAGCAACTCTATGCTCATTTCGTCGGACAAGCTTCATGGGCAGGTGCTCGGATCATCCAAGAACAGTGGACTCCCCAAGCGCTAAGGCTTTACGATCTTCTCATACTTACCTTCAGTTCCAACGGGAAGTTGGCTGATTTGGACGCACTCAGTCGAAAATCTGGTATTCCTCATGAAGATTTTGAACAAGTACTGCAATATTCATCCCAGGCAAGTACTCCTCGTCCAAGTTGTCGTGTACCGTGTGCAAATGACCCCTTCGATTCCAGGTTTTGCACAACTTGGTAAACTACAAGAGTTTCGGTTTCACGAAGATCGTGCCTCGTGTTTCCGAAGCAAAATTTGCTGCTGTAGTCGAAAAGTCAGCCAATGCAGCCAACGCCATCCCTTTGTGGAACGAGGTGAGTAGTTAGATGCACGTCGATATTCGAAGCTAATAGCACAATCCAATCAGTTGAAAGACCATATCTATGCACTCTCACCTGAGAATTCTCTCTCCATCGGCAAACCAAGGGATGGACATATCTCTAACTATTACCTTGGTCAAACGATTATGGACGAAGAGGTTGCAGCCGTTCAAGCTGCCGCTGAGAAAATCGGGGTTGATGTGCTGAACACGCGGTAAACATGATACTCAAATCTACTATGTATAAGAAACACGTCTCATTTCCTTGTAGTGTTCGCAAGAACGGGCCCCATGACTTTACCCTTCTCGTTGCCTCTGTCAACAAGACTGAATCGATCATTCATGAAATAAACGCGGAGCCGACATCTATTAGATTGACGGTTGAGTACGGCGATTTCTCAGCGGCATTAGCAAAGGCCGTTGCGGCATTGCATGAGGTTCAGTCAACTTGATGTTCATTCACATGTTTAAATTTCTTACCTTCTTTTCAGGCCAAAAAGTACACGGCCAATGACACCCAGACAAAAATGATTGAGGGCTACATCAATTCGTACGTCTCAAGCTTTGCAACCTGTGTTACCTTTGGTGTACAATTCAATTAGCTTTAAGACTGGGTCAATCGAGGAACACAAGGCTGCCTCTGCACATTGGGTAAAGGACGTCGGCCCCGTCGTAGAAAGCTACATAGGCTTTATTGAAACTTACGTCGACCCATATGGTGGTCGTGCCGAGTGGGAAGGCAAGCCATTTGTATCCACTGATGTTCGCCACGCTGACCGCCTCTGATAGGTTTTACTGCCATCGTGGACAAAGAACTTAGCGCCAAGTATGACATACTCGTCAATGGTGCACCGGAGTTAATCAAGGTCCTGCCCTGGGGTAAGGACTTTGAGGTTGACGTATTTAGAAAACCGGATTTCACTGCATTGGAGATTGTGAACTTTGCTACAGGAGGCAAGTGCCTCTCGATCATGAAATAATTTGGCTCATTTGAGATGACATAGGTATTCCCGCTGGTATCAATGTGAGTATATGCAGTATCTTCGAGAGTAACTGATTGACGGTGACCCTACCAAGATTCCTGTAAGTATTCTCGACTGGGGGTAAATTATCTCACCGACATGCATTGCTAAGAACTATTATGATATCCGAGAATCGACTGGCTTCAAGAATGTCTCCCTCGCTGTCAGTGTATCTGTGGGCGTAATGTGTCTTATACTTACCTTTCTCTTAGAACATCCTTTCAGCCAAGGCACCGGGTAAGTTTTGCCACCAGCTACAACTTGTTGCGCTGCTTATTCTTGCTTTACACAGACGAAGAAGTTACTTTTATCCATCCTGACGATCTTGACTTGTACAATGAGTGGGATTCGCGCGCCTTTGAGCTTCAGGTTGCAAACCACGAGCTGTTGGGCCATGGATCTGGGAAGCTTTTCCAGGAAGCTGCTGACGGCTCAAAAAACTTCGACCCAGAGAAGGTTTGGGTTACTTACCCTGAACGCGTACCGTAATCTTAAGTTGCATACTCCAGGTCATTAACCCACTCACTGGGAAGAAGATGTATGTCTATACTTTTAAACTGTGGAACTGACGTGAACGCAATGTAGCACATCGTGGTATAAACCTGGTCAGACACCGGGTTCGGTTCTTGGCGAAGTTTCTTCCTCAATGGAGGAATGTCGCGCGGAAACTGTTGCCCTATACCGTAAGTCGTGGAGAGTTGTCTCGTGAAGTTATACGATCGCTAAAGCCGTGTCGCTTTCAGTCGCAAGCAATTCAACGATCCTTAATATTTTTGGCGCGAGTATTCCCCTCTCACTGGGTGTGCTTATTACTGACAGCTCTGACCACAGTATACCGATAAGAAGACTTGCGACGATATCGTTTATATCACCTTCTTGCTAATGGCACGTGCAGGTCTACGGGCTCTTGAGTTCTATGACCCTGCCACGAAGAAACACGGCCAGGCACACATGCAAGCTCGGTGAGTTCCGCAGCTTCCACATTCCATGTGCTAGCCATGTGACTGTCTCGACACTTAGTCTTGGCATCACCCAGCACATGATCAAAGAAGGTTTAGTGACTCTCGAAGAGGTTCGCGGCGCAGACAATTCGCTAGAGAACCTGTATATTCGCGTCAGTCTCTTTGCACGCACCATCAGATGATCCTACCTTATACCTTTCGACCAGCTTGACCGCCAGAAATGTCTAGCCCAAGGACAGGCTGTCTCAGGAAAACTCCTCATCGACCTTCAAGTCCGGAAGAGCACGGCCGATGGTGCTGGAGCACGGGACTTCTATACCAAGCTCACCACGCCTCTCCCAGGATGGGATGGCGAGATTCGGGATGTCGTTCTCAAGAAGAAACAAGTGCGTGTTCACCATAAAATGAAATTATATGACCTTACGGTTTTGTAGCCTCGCAAGATGATGCTGCAGCCCAATACTTTCGTCGTGAATGGCCAAGTGGAATTGAAAGAATATCCCTTGACACCTGCTGGTATGATTGAGAGCTACATTGAAAGACGTCTATGAGGTTTATCCAATGGGTTTGTTTGGACAACGACAACTACACAGCTGACCATGACGCGAACTGTATAATCTAGCACTTATATATAGTAATAAATGAATCAGTGCTTATATTGGAATTGATGACGCGTCACGATGTGTCAGCGCGTTGTCAATGGAGGTCATGTGTTTTCAAAATCAAAGTGCAGGTTGCTCCTCCCCAATCTGTTGTTCCCTTTCACGATGACCCTTGGCCTATGGTCATCGCCAGTGCCTCGCCTACTCACGCACAAGGGCATTTGTCTATCAGCGTCTGTGTCGCAGCGCGCTAACCGACCAATAACACGTACATACTCCAGCGCAAGTCCCGCCTCCCCGCTATCCCGACCCTACCAGTTTCATTTTGGTGCTAGCTGGGCGGCGAAGCCCCCAGAAAAATCGCGCATTCATGTTCCTTTCCCACCAGACAGTACGGTAGGACGCTGGCGAGACAAGATGCTTGGAAAATGGAAAAATACGACGAGCGGGGATGCAGGAGAGGACTTTTTCTTCGTGACGGAGGTGCGTCCCGGACGGTCTAGCAGCCACGTGTTCCTCTAAAAAGATCTATGCATTGTTGCTTGGATACTTTCTTGTGTGACAGATGCAAAATAGTTCGGTAGGTATGTTCATGTCCTTCCATACATGTCTTGTGTGTTCATATGGTGTTTTTATTGTCAGGGAGTGTCATTTGGTGTTGCTGATGGTGTGGGAGGATGGGTTGACTCAGGCGTTGACCCGTCACTTTTTGCCCAAACACTCATGTACCATGCACATCGTTACTCGCGACATGGATGGGCTGGTGAACCAGAAATTGATCCAACTCAAGAGTACGAGGAGCGTGAAAGAGTTGAAGGATGGGAGTTAACACCGTACAAATGTCTTGAGTGCGCCTACCACGGTGTATTGCGTGAGCGTCTTGTCAATGCAGGTCTGTTCCCCACCGTTGTCATACATATCCATCCTGAACGTCTACTAAGGATCCAGTACTGCTTGTTTAATCAGTCTTAACGCATCATCAGGTGTATTGCGAGCTGCAAAGTAGGCAGACTTTACTACCAGAGAAACTCAACTGAGGCAGGCTTCGCATAGTCTTGGTGACAGTGGATTTCTAATCATCCGATCGTCTTCGGTAATATACCGACAACCACCACAAACCCATTTCTTTAATTGCCCATAGTAAGATGCATTTTATTGACAGACTTTCTGATTTGGATACTTTCATCAATAGCCAGCTCACGAAATTTCCGCCTGACATGGTACCGTCCTCTCATTTTGCCGATCGACCAAATCGGGCTGCTCAGTATGAGACCAAACTTCGGGATGGGGATATTATCATTGCATTCGTGCGTCGTTTCCAATTCTCACTGGATAACGTGCCGAAGGTTCCGGGTGCAGACTGACGGACTCTCTGACAATGTCTTTACACCTGACATCGTCGCTATCTGCTCTCTTGTAGCTCGCTCAGGTGGCTCTGAAGATGTACAAGCGCAGATGATGGCTAACCGCATTATTGAGTATGCACAAGTGTGCATGCGAGAACGGAAGAAGATGACCCCATTTTCACGTAAGCCCTGTTTTTGCTTTTGTTTACATGCAAATTCTCATCTTTCACGTACCTGTGTTGTTCGCAGGCGAAGCCTTGCGAGAAGGACTTTATTACCGAGGAGGGGTGCGTTTGATCTAGACCTTTTTTTTGAGACTTCCTTAATGTTTTGAGTTTGCAGAAAATTGACGAGTGAGCCATTGCTTTTAATCCGCGATTTTTTTGCTGACGTCGACGACACTAGCGTTACGGTTGTGACAGCTATAGTGCGCGAGGCCGTATGATGACTGAGCGCGACCTTCATTGAAGTGTACACATGGATAATTGATGCAACAATTCATATCACATCTATTACTAATTACTCAGCGCCATTTTTGGACTCTTGCAATATCATGAACTTTTTGTTATAGCCCGAGCTCGCCTGGCATGATGAGGAGAGGTCACCGGTCACCTTACTTGGTAGTAGGCTTCACTTAATGATAGAGGGACATGCAATCTAGAGCATCCACCACGCAACCTCAACACAACTCGATATCATTAAAGCAGTCGATTCGTCACCGACTGTCCCCTAATTATGTGCTCCAGCCGGCATGCTTTTGAATAATGCTTTCGGAGACTTGCAAAATCTCGTTGAATCTTCGACCTAGTCGCAGCCACAATAAACAAGTTCTGATGATAAGAATGTAATTTTTGCTGTAGAGAATGTAGGCTCGCTAGCTCCTAAGTATAGTAGACTATCCACGAAATGTCCATGTAGATTAGCTTGATCTATCGTCTACTATGATACACCAAGCGAAGTCGAAAGCGTATAAGAAGATATACAAGTGGCAAGTCAAGCCAGTCCATGTGTAAGTGTCCCAGTAATTAGATATTCTGACAGAGAGTGCAGTGGAACGTGATCTCATTTCGGAAGATGGCAGCTGAAACCATGTTAAAGACAGATAATGGATAATGTGAGGTGAACTTACGCAGAACAATGAGAGATGCCAGGCCCGACACCACGAGGATATAGAGCAGGGTGTATTTAATGATCTGTCGAAGACTTGAGTTAATGGAGTGAGAGGTAAATCATGGGACTCACAATCCATCGTCTTTGTCTCTTCTGCTTAGTCGAGTAAAGAGGTGCTCGAATCTGTTTGGATGGGCGGAGCCAGACTGCCAGGAGTTCAGACTTACAAAAAGGTAAAGAGCTCGACAGTATCACTTACACAGCATAGTTGAATGCAGCTTGTCGATGAATGGAATAAGAACAGGCGGGGTCAAAATCACCAGGAGGATGTGGCCGAGTAAGAAATCTGAGCTCCACAACGACATTTCGACGATCTTTACGATGAATTCACGAGCTGGCTGGGACATCGCGCTATTACCGAGGCCACGACCGTACCATTTACCGGACCACCACGCACGATTGGTTTCGTCGTGTTTGAACTCGCGAGACAGGAAGACTGCAATGAGAATCTTCTGGATCGCACGCTGAATGGCAACGATAGTGATTACGCCAAGTACTGCATGAGATGCATCCCAAAGCTCGAGGAACCACTACGACACACGTCAGTTCAGTGTCATCAGAGCGTAGATTAAATTACTTACGAAGAACTCGAAGAATGAGACAATTCCAAGCAGCGCGAAAAAGTGAGCGACGGCAGCCATGACCGAAGCAAACCTCGCCCACTTGTCGAACATGGGACCCACGAACAGCGATATAAAAAATAGCGATATGAGAACAGCAGCATTCCAGACGATAGGACCAATCGCAATAACAGCTATGCGAATCAAGGGACTGGGGTTCTGCTGGCCATTGACGTTGGGGAACGACTTGACGAACATGTATGCGATGACAAAGATGGCCGCATGGCAGATCGGCCACACGACCTCCGAGAAGACAACAGCTCGCCATGAGGCACGGGGCAGGTCTCCAGACAGCTTTTCTGACGGAAAGCCCAGCTTCTTCTTTTTGTACCCGGTGATCATAGTCCTAGAAAGACGGCAGTATCCATACCAACTACTCGCTTTCGTCCTCGAGTTACCTCGGGACATCCAACGCAGGAACTCGCGATAGTCGATGATGAAGTCGGTAAATGAGAACTGATGAGGGTTGAAAACAAAGGGAGCAATGCACAATGAGAGCACAGAGAACCAGAAGTAAATGAGGTGGGGTATCCAAATCGTCAGAGAAACATAGAGAAGGATCAGCAGATTCCTCATGCCCATGTAGATACCTGGTCCTGCAAAGCGGGAATACAAAATGCTAAAGGATATTCGGGTCGTCGCAAAACCGCGGCCGGTTGCGATATAGCGAGCACCACCGAATGTCAGATTGCTCAAGATAGCTTGAGAGTATATCTGGGTCGAGAAAACCTCAAAGACGGGAGACAACGACAAGAAGTGTTTTCCGAGACGCAGTAGCGCTTTTCCAGTTCCACGCTCAACAAGTTCTGTTGTCAGTCAGTAAAGCCCAGCCCAAAGTAAAATGCTAATGAATTACCTTGCAAGAAGAGAGGCAGGAAAGCAATGAAGAACACCAAGAAAATGGACACGATGCAGCGCTTGATCCATTCGAAGACGGGAATGAGGTTGTAGCACCCAGAACCCTGCTGACCACCAAGCACATTGCCCTGCGCATCAACTTGACAGATGGCAAGCTGCTTGTTCAAAGTGCCGATGAAGAGCACTACAATTTGTCAGGAACGCAGGTCAAATGTGCAACACATCGGGACTCACGAGTGACCATGAACACCTGGATCGAGTAGATGACCAAGATATTGTTGATGTGGAAACCAGGATGTCCATAGTAGAAGGTCAAGAAGCGATCGATGGGCAGCTGCGTCCCGAGGTAGTAGTACTCCCGACTAAGCATCTGTTCACCCATACCGGTACCGATCTTAGTTTGGAAGTTGAGAATCGTGCCGAACCCAAGATCACGGCCCTTTCCACACTGGTAGTACTCCGAGTGCTTGATACGACCACCACGCCCAAAGGCGTTCATACCGGCGAAGATATCCTCGTTGAGATGCAAGCCTTTCTGCGCCTTTGAAACTCCACCGCGTGTTGTCATAAAAAGGGCATTGAGGAAATCAGGGTGTCCATAGTGCAACTTGCCCCCAATCCACGCGAGCGCACGAGCTGTCATCGTACCGAATGTCTGTTCCTTCCCAGCAGCAATGTCACCCAATACCCCGATGTTCTCCGAGAAGATGTACTCGCGTGTGCCCACGATAGCGACGGGGGATTTCTTGAACTCCTTGTGGCCCCATTGCGCATACGGACTCTGGCTTGAGATGGAGTATTCCTCAAACTCGCCAAGGATGTTCCGAATCTTGAGACATTCTTCAAGGTAGTTGTCCTGGTTGGCATCGATAAGCTGAAGGTATTCGCCGCGATAGAAAATGATGGCATGGTTCTGGTTGTCTGACTTTCCATCACCAAGAATAGGATTTCCGGGCAGCTCGATGCGGAACTTGGGCTTCCGTTTACCAGTAACGTCGTCAATTTCTGAATGACCATCAATCAACGTCGAAAACAACCGGCCTTCGCTGCCTTTTGGTCCGGGCTCTTCATCAAGGTACGCAATCTGTAGATCTGGATATGCGCGCAGCAAAAACTCAGCATTCTCCTGCTCCTCCTTGTTGAACTTCGAGAACCGCTGCATGGAGATGGCGAACTTAAACTTGCGGCGTGCCATCCTCTCAAGCTCCCGCTCGAGCTTCTCCGTGTTGCCCCCAAACGTGGACACGATGGCGGGATTCTCAACGCGGTAGAGAAGCTTAATGGCCTTGGAATAATTCATCATGCCAGAGACAGTGCGGTACAGTGTCTGCGCACGCAGAGAGGCCCAGATACGTGTGCGGAGGGTATATTCTGGGCTCGATGTCTTGAAACCGATGCAGTAGAAAGGCAAGTCATCCGCTTTGTTATTCGTCTTCTCATTGATGGAACTTGTTCCATCCTCGCTCTCCCCAGCAAGGATCTTTGTGTCCTTCACGAAGTTGTCCCATTCAACAGAGTGGAGCTGCTTCAGGTACTCAAGCAACGTCACACGGGTGTTCTGGTCTTCTTCGCGGATGATTTCGCGCAAGCTGAGTAGAATCTTCTCAGAATAATGCGGAACGAGGACAGTGAATGTAGGCATGGCTTCCACGGGGAGTGGCTCGGGCAGTGCGGTAGTGAGGGAGCTAGCGAAGAACGAAATCCTGCGCTCAGCCTCCCCGTCTGCAGGGAAGAATGTGCCTTTGTAGTTGCCACCGGTCTGGTTCAAGAAGAATGGGGGCGCATTGAGCGTTCGGCGACCGTCAGCAGTCTCAGCCTGATGATACAACAACCGCTGGACATGGTCAATCCCAAGGAGATGTTCACGATACATGGAGATGATGATGGCATTCCAGATCTGCGAGACAAGGACCTTAGGTTTGTATTTGACCTCCATCTCGGCAGTGGCGAGGAGTTTGGCGTAGATGCGCTTAGGAAGGCGGGTGTACACATCTTTCCAAGGCGTCCAGATCGACAGGCCAAGCGAGAAAGAGCGAGCAACAGAGAAAACGACAACCCAGATGATGTACCACAAGTACGTGTCAAGGAAGAACAGAATCAAGTCCATGATATACATGATAGCCAACGTGAAGGGGACCTGATTCGAGCAGAGGACGGTGCCGAAGAGCTTATCATTGCATCCCTGCACAGTAGTCCGTGCCATGACTGCGATTGGCGAGCTGAAGGAACTGGTGAGAAAAAAGTATGATTCTGTAAATTTGCATCCGAAGATTAGAAGCCAGAGCATGATGCTTGCAGTACGCGCAGTACGCGTGAGTTCCGGGTAAGATGCAGTAAATGTCTGCGAGGCCATGTACTTGCGTGACTTGCCAGCCACACGGTCACCAAACATGCGCCCGGAAGGAAACAATCCGAAGGCAACGGTCGCAACGATGGAGATGAAGAACTGCACAATGCCAATGATAACAGGAATCTGCGAGGTGGTGGGGGTTGGACGGTTCTCTACATATGCAATGTATACCGTCGGACCGCCCGTAAGCGCTAGAATGACGAGGAGGAATATGAATCGGGTTGTGAGATGGGAGGCATTATTCCATGTTGTGGGAATGTACATGAACTCGGCGAGCGTGGCAAAGAGCATGATCAACGTGGCAACTGCACCTCCGAGGGCGGTCGCGGACCAGGTCATCGCGGGTGAAGGGAATTGCGAATTTGGAGGCGCGTACACCTTAGGGGAGTTGAATGCGGTATAGAACCAGTAAATTGCGACGTGGAGAATCCAGATGCGGTTGAAGTTGACAAGTAGATGCGCTGTGGAACGCTTCTCCTTGTAGGTCTTGAAGAAGACTTTGTTCCAGTCTACGCGCCGCAGGTTCATGTAGCGCTTGGCGGGTGAGATGTCCACAAGGCGAGACTGGAAAGCATGTTAACTTAACGCATGCTGTAGGGGAAAATCACCTACATGGTTCTCAAGGACAATCCGTGCCAGACCCTCAGGA